AAAAAAATGGTGCTCCAAAATGGCCTTCATTAGTGTTGTAATTGGGAGAGAGTTTTATGAGGTTAATGGACCATAAGTGATCTTAGGTCTTAGGAGCTACACAGCTTGGCAGAGCCAGAGGTGGGTGACTTTTTAGAGACGTCGGCGGGTGGAGAGAGATCGGCAGCCCTTCTGGGCAGGGCTGGGCTGCTGGGGGTTCGGGAAAGCCCCTAGCTAAGATTCTGTGCAGTTCAAAGAACCCCCAAATCCCACTCCTGGCTGGCCCCGCCCACCCCTCCCCTCCCTCCCAGGAGTCCCCACGTGGCCCATTTTGGATGCAGGTAAGTGCAGGGCATACGCGGAGGCTCGGGGAGGATGAAAATGGGCCGCCTGGAAGTTCAGGAAGGCCGGAAATGGGCCCGTTTTTCGCTTCCAGAGAGCCTCCGGAGCCTGAGAAGGGCAAAAACGCTCCCCCCCCCCGCCGTGGTGCAGGAGGCCGACTAGGCCACGCCCACCATGGACGCGCCCACCCAGCAACCAGGCAGAGAACCCGTTGCTAAAATTTTTGAAGCCCTGCTCTGCCTCTGGGTAGGAAAAGAAGTGACGTATCCCCAGAGTTGCAATGTTGTGGATTGCTGTTGGCTGTACAGGTACAGGAAATCCTCGACTTACAACAGTTCATTTAGCGACACCCTCCAAAGTTACAACGGCACTGATAAAAGTGACACACGACTTGTTTTTCCACACTTATTACAATCGTTCCATTTTTCGCACGTTTTTGGACGCCTGGCAACTGAGACTCAGGTTTATGATGGTTGCAGTGTCCCTGGGTCATGTGATCCCCTTTGGCGGCCTTCTGACAAAGTCAGTGGGGAAAGTCAGATTCACTTAACAACCACAGTGATTCCCTTAGCAACGGTGACAAGAAAGGCCGTAAAATGGGGCAACATTCACTTAATAAACATTTCGCTTAACAACAGAAATGCTGGGCCCAATTGTGGTCATAAGTTGAGGGCTACCTGTATGTTCACCTCAGTGGTGGGATT